CAAGAAACATTTCAGACATTGTCTGACAATAAAGTATATATCTATCGAACTTGAGTGCCGTGTTTTTAGAACACTGTGTTATGCACAAGACACTGCAAAAGGAAACACAAAAGAAAATACTGCACAATGGAATGCAAAAACGCATTCTGTGTTACCGGCCCCTAACTCTTATGCATTACCTTTATGTTGTAAAGTAATTTTATGGTAAGAGGGTTCAGTATTCCGTTTGCTGCAAGTGTTATATTGCAGTTGTGTGTTTAGATGAAAGGGACGTTCTTCAGCAGTTTGGCTCAGTCTGGTGCCTGGTGCTGCTTTGATGAGTTCAATCGCATCAACATCGAGGTGCTGTCAGTCATCGCTCAACAACTCATCACTATCAGAAACGCCAGGGCAGCCAGGGTATTACACACACACACACACACACACACACACATGCATTGTCATCAGTTATACAGGAAATGTGCAGCTGCATGTGTTTAGATTGTGTTTGTGTTCTGCAGCTACCTCGGTTCATGTTTGAGGGGAGAGAGATAAAATTGGTGATGACGTGTGCTGCTTTCATCACTATGCCCTCTTCCGACCCATAGCCATGATGGTGCCCAACTACGCTCTTATCGCTGAGGTGTGTGATTAAACTACCTGGTCTGATCCCAGTAATGATGATAAATCACACTAGGTGAGAAGTAGAGGGGTCAGAGATGCCGCTGCTCATCTAATGCGTGTACTCATTAAAAGCTTTCGTTTGTTCATGTGTGTGTGTTACTACGAGGAAACTGGTGTCCTACCAGTGAGATTACCAATTTGTGAATTTCCACAATTGATTGGTTGTAAAATTGAATTCTAAAATGCGTAAAATTATGAAATGATTTAATTATTAGAAGCAGAGCAGAGCAGAGGTAGACATGTAGAGCAGAGGTGCCCAAACCATTTACTATGAAGGGCCAAAATCCAACTTGATTGGCCGAAAATAAAACTGTATATCTGTCTAGCGCATTTTACATAGAAAAACAGTGGAAATTCAATGCATTGGAAACTGGTGTCCTACTACTGTAATATGCTATTTGTAAATTTCCACAACTAGTCGGTTGGAAAATGTACTTTTCACTTCAACACACTCTTACAAAATAAGAAATGATTGAATAATTTGGCTCATTTAGAGCAGATGTGCCCAAACCATTAACTACAAAGGGCCAAAAATACAACTTAATTGGTAAAAAGTAAATGCATTATATCCAACTATATTTAAATTTTCCTGTATTTCTTTTTTCTGTATTTTCTTTATTT